TATTAGTTATGTTAAAAAAAAAAAGCCTTTTATCTCTTCTTTACCACGACAAAGGTGGGACTGTCTAGTGTATAGCAACGAGGGAAGGATGTGCTCTGTGATATCCAGCGCTTACTCAAACAAGAGCCTCACATTACTTGCCCAGAAGTGCAGTTTTGCAATGTAGCTTTCTTCCTCTATATTTTCCAAAGAGCAGATAATTAAATTTCAGACCTTGTTGTCGGGGAAACTCGGGGGGCGGGGGGTGTCCCTAGAACTGTATTTTTTATTTTATTTTTTTGGCAATTATCGTGTAGCAGGAACCCTCTTTGAATTGGGATGCTATGTTTCCCAGCACAATGAAGCTTAATTGGGGCTCAACAGCAAATTAATATAAGGCCTCTGCCCATCTGTAAAATGCAGTTCACCTCTAATGACAGCAGTTATGTCAGTGAATATATCTGTGTGTGTGTGTGTGTGTGTGCGCGCCACTTGGTATGTGGTTGCTTCTATTTAGGTCTGAAAATGACGTGTTTGCTCTTAGTTATAGAGGCTGCAGATAAGTCTGGATGTCATGAGCGCATGGTTCATTCGTTCATGTCACGCTGGTCAGCTCTGTAGAAAATTACAGCGTTCCAGCAAATTGAAATACCACTTGAATGTGTGTGTTAATTAGATCTCTGCGTGCCTTTTCAAAAGTGTCTCTCCTCCTCTGCCCATGAGTCATGTGCTGACTCTTTGACCTGTCACCACAAACCCTGAGTCTTTGCTGAGGGCAAACTGAAAGAAAAGCAAAGTTTTTTCTCCCTTTTTTTCACCTTCCCAGCCAGCCACTGACAAATTTGAACATATTGATCTACACTAAGGGCAGAGGAGGGCAATTTCCTCTAAAGTACTTGTGCAGCATCTTGGCTGCTATTTCCTCTCAGTTTGCTGTGGCCCACACGTGACGTAAAACTATGGCATGGGGGAAAAAAAAGCTACATATTGTAGAGAACACACATGATTAGAGGCTTTAGAATAAGTTGAGTGTGATTGTATTGCACGCCTACGCAGTTTTCCAGACGCTATTCTTACACGTTGTTCTTGCAAACACATGGCAAAGCAGATATTAGTGAGTGATGACTAGCTTCACAAGGTTCAAACCAATCATTGTGAGCACCTTACACTGAAGCCCAGATGGTTTTGTATTGCAGAAGGTTCTCCATTCGACAGCCAAACTGTCTGATTCCCAACATTAGGCTTGTTTCAGACAGCAGTAATAAGAGGATAACATCAAAGCTCTGCTTTATTTCTGAGAGACTTCAGAGCAAGACTATGAATAACAGATCACAAGGTACAAAGAGTGAACCAGAGAACTTGGGCAGCTTTTATGTTTCAGCTGTTGTTGGGATTCACGGGGAGCTCATTAAAACACATTGATGAGGAACAGTCCCGATCCTCTGATTGTTGACTGTGAAATTGCTCAGCTAACCAACATATTTTTGATGCAATGATTTTTCTGTGCCGGAATGAGCCTCTTGGCTGATGCTCATTTTTTGGTTTATTCAAAGCCAGTGATTTGATGTAGCATTTTAGAGACTGTACTTGAAATGGAAATGTGTAACTGTGTGCTCTTCTCCCAGTGCAATACATTTGTACCTTTCTTTTTTTCTTTTCCTGCAGGGTCCTGTGTATGTTTAATCGCTCACAGGTGTTGTCAGTGAATTTTATGCCCAGCATATTTTTTATTTTCCACACCTGATCATTTTAGATGAGAATGATTTGTTGACTAGTTCCATTTGCTAAATAAGGCTGCCCCTCTACCCAGGTGCCAGGCAGAAGGACTGAGATTTCCTAGGTACCATTGATCTTTCCGCCAGCTCCACCTTTCAGTCCTCCCATCACCAGGGCAGCTGTCAGCCCACACTCACCCACTCAGCCACCCACCACTTGGAGAAACACTCTCTGAGGCCACCCAATGTCTTCTCAGCTGAATGAGTCTGGTTTCAGACAGGGAACAGATGTTTGGTAGCCTCTGTGAGAAAGTCAGGAGACTCAGTATGTGGGTCAAACGCAGGTCAGACTCAGCATAGAGAACTGCAGCCACATGATACATCCAGATCAAGTGTTTATGACATGATGGGCAACTTCTGGATATCTCTGAGAAAAGAGACTCAACTGCAGGACTGAGGCTGTGGGTCAGCTGTTTGCATGGTATTCAGTTTGGTTCACGTGGGTGCTTTTATTTTGTGCAGTGACCGCAGGCAGTAGCCTTCATATGAAGATACAGTTTGTTTCTTTGTTTGCTGCATTTTTGTGCATAGATTTGCATGCTAGCTGGCAGGTCCAATTAGGGTAACAAAAAAAAGAAAAGAAAAATAAAGCCCCACTCTTGCTTGGTAGTTTGCATAATCAGCAAAGCCGAGCCCTTAAGCCAGGGAGTGATGTTACAAACACAAGGAGCAAAGGGCTTTCTGAAATTGTTATGTCTTCAGCTTGAGGGTAATCATGGACAAATCTCTAAGCCTCACAGTGCCATTCACAGCAATAACAACAGTTAGTGCAGTAGGACGAACGGGGCTAGGTCTAGGAGAGCATCTGTGTGATCAGGCTTGTCAGAGGCATTGCAGATGACGGGGTTGTTTATCCACCTCCATCTTCACAGGAACAGCAGAAGAGCAGGGCAGATACTGTTATCTGTTTATGGCACAAGATAAGGGCATCTCAGTTGGATCACTGACCCTCCACTGGCACTCTCCGCCCCCTAGTACCAAGCGCTGTCTAATAAGAGGTCGCCAGACGAGTCCCATATCACTCTTAAGTGATCCTAATAGATGCCATTAGCATGTCCACGGTTATTGCTGCAGTTTTCCACTGACCATGCCAACTGTACATGTCAGGGCATCATTATCCACCAACAGGGAGGCTCAGAGTCTGACCCAAGTCTGTGGGGTCAGAAAGAATGCCACAACAAAGCAACAGTGAAGCTGTAGAGGATATCAAGTGGTGGGGATATAGGGGAGAGTGAGCTCAAAGTGTCATAGTTGGCGCAGACATTAGATAAAGCTAAGCTACAAGAGGATTAGAGAGGGAGGAGATGTAAAATGCTCTCGGCTAATTGGGCTTTATTTTTAATATTTCAGAGGGTTCATTAGACACTAAATTGGTGAAGTATTTCAGCTCTGTCTGTTGCCTGAGAGCCTTTTTCGGGACAAGCTTTACAACCTGAATAATGGCATATAATTTTTGTTAAGGCCTGGTCATTGAAAATAGCACACTGGTATATTAAAATTCTCCCTTTTCCCCTCCTGTTACAAGGTTAGATTTCATCATTTTTGCCCAAATACAAGCTTAGTTGCAGGCCTACATCTGGGTCAGTGCATTCTGACTTCATCTACTTGACTTTTTTTGTTTTTTCCTCTATGTAATTTTGAGCAGGTCACAGTTGCCTGAAGGATATACTTTAGGGTATCATACAGTTGTCTTTCAAACTGACAAAGCAGTGAATGACTTTGACAGTGGGTATGGGGCTCAGAGGCTTGGTCTGGGTGTTAAGCTCTGTGCTGGAAAGGGACGTAGGCTGTGCTGAGAGAGCTGTCGAGGAGAACGGTCAGTGCACAGCACTTTGCCATGACCCTCCACAGCTTATCATCAGTTACACCACTTCTCCGGGCCTCAGTGTGTGGGTGTGTTTTTTCTGTGTCCGTGCAGCGTGCTGGAGACCGAGTGGTGCTTAGAATGGGGTCCTTTATAACCTCCTAACCCTCTGGTCCTGTTTGCTTCCATTGTTGGCCACAGTGAATGGTATCTCCGTGCCTTGAAAAGTAACCAGATGACATTCTTCCTGTTGTTCAAAAGGGCCCGGGGTTCCGTTGTAAAAAGCATCTGAAAGGATAGGCTAAGACTGTGACCTTCAGAGGCTAATCTCTGGCATGTCATTCAGTGCCTATTTGAAGCAAATGCAGACCTTTCTCCCTGGTAGCAACGCACCAGTTCAAACAAAGAAGAAATTCCTTATCAGTTTTCAACACTTAGACTTTTAAAAACAGTCAAGATAGTTTTTGGGTTTTTTTTCCTTTTCCCAGAACCACCTTCTCCATAAAGGAACCAGAGGATGTTTTGTAGTAGCTGAAGTGAATCGTTATTCCAGACAGGCAGTGTGTCTGACACCTACATTGTCCAAACAGTCTCTTCAGCCTGTGACTGAGCCCTCTGTACACAGACCTGTGGCATCAGCAGCCCCTCTGTACTGAATGCTGAAATACCGCTGCTGCTGTGAAAGCAACGGGGATGAAATGCACTTAGTGAGACAGTAAACATCGGTGGAGCTCTCAAACTATCTTACGTTGTTTATGTCTCCTCCTCCTCCTCTCCGGTGTATTTGCTGTGTTCAGCTGGCTGAGTTTCCTGGAATGTGCAGAGATGCAGTTGTTGCTCTGTAGGGGGATGTTGGCTTTAATCACGGTTCATAGTTCAACTGTAGTTGGACTCAACTGAGCAGCAATCAGACAAGAGTCACATTATTCTTCTGAACTGGAAGACCACACTTGATGTAGCTGTTTTATTATGAAGTTTGCTCTTTGCTCAACAGATTCAGATCATTTTTTCCCCTCTTGTATATGAAGAGTTTGAAAAATGAGCTATTTAAACTTTGAACCACAACTATTGCATTTCTGCCAACACTTGAAAGGGAGCAGCCTTCACAGCATAATACGGTACTGCTATTTAGTTGTAAAGTTTTACTTTTCATGACTCTCTCTTTAACAGATGCTTTTAGTCCACACCTAATGAGACTTTACCATTCATCTATTCAAGGGGATTTGCTTTTCAGCAGATTCACTTTAGTGGCATTGAGCTGTCTTTGTGCTTGTCTAAAAGATCTCTGAGAGCAGGCCTCCCATTGCAATGTTTCGTCTGTGCTTC